TCATTAACTGTCGACAGACAGCTAGTAGTATACTTTAGGGTAAGGTGATACCATACTAACATACTACCATACTAACATAAAATTCTCGGTCTGAGCCTATAGACCTTGAATAAACCGATCTACTTCAACTTAGTAGATAATTTCTGAGGAAATTAGAAGGCGACAGTTTCTAAATTTGAGTATCTACCAGAAAAAGCACACGGGAAATGCTGGGGGACCCACTAACGAGCGGACCCCTCGCAGCTGCGCCATGCAGCGGCTGAATATAGGCGAAACACGCGTGAATGGGTTTTTGGCTAGTACTTGTGCTGTTAGTATGGAATCACCCTACCCCAAAGTATAGGACCACCTGCCTGTCGGCAGTTAATAAATATTACGAGGTCACCCGCTGTGGCTGATGGACTTTGGCCCAAATATTCATACATAACATTCTCGGTCTGAGCCTATAGACCTTGAATATACTGATCTTCTTCAACTTCATAGATAATTTCTGAGGAAATTTGAAAGCGACAACTTAAGTAGTCATTTTTTACGGATTGTAGCTTATGCGGACGATCAATAAGAAGCTTGCTCGAAAGCCGGCATTCTGACGTGACTTAAATATCTCGCTAAATCTCGATAATAAATGTTACAGCCCTACTTAGGTCGGGAGTATGCTACACGATAAAAATATTACAACCCTAATTAAGTCATCTTTTCGGATTGAAAACGCATTTTACAATTTGGGTTAACATTTAATGAGATAGCCTATCTGATGACAGTTGCCAACGATGCGCTGCAGCAGGATGAGAGCAGGGACAGTGACTTGCGCGTGAATTACGTTAAAGTGATAGTGGACTTGCGCTGCATCTATCGCACTTTCTCTTCCTCCCCCACCTGGGCCCCGGTGTTAAGACAGAGTCAAGAAGACCGGAGGCGGGAGAGGAGGCAGGTGGCTGGCACGACGTAAACCCCACACCTCGGTGTATTATCACACCCTCTAGTCCACAACATACAGTACGTGACCTATCTCATGAAATCTGATAGCTGAAACTGATACGAGAATTTCCGGACGTCTTTAACATTGCGCATTTTGTTCGCTCGTCCACTTCCTTCAATAAAATGTCCTTTTCTTGTGCAGAAATTGTGTTTAAGTAATTATATCATTCATCGATATTTTGGCAGATTTTGAATAATTCTTATTGGCCCAACTGTGAAAAACTCGGCGCCTCGGTGGGATTCGAACCCACGCATTAAGGGGAAGGCTTTAGTACAGCCAACGCTCTAACCACCTGAGCTACGAGGCCCCGCCGGACTACGCGAGTTTAATCTCATTTGGGTCAAGTTACCCGCCCAACCTACTGCAACGTCTGAAATCCACCAAATCTGATACAGTAAGTTGACTGCCCAGGCAGGATTTCTCAAGTAATTCACCTAGAATCCACCAGATAACTACCAGGCTCACGTAATTCATCGATATTTTGGCAGGTTTTGAATAATTCCTGTTGACCCAACTGGCTGTACTAAAGCCTTCCCCTTACTGCGTGGATTCGTGTCCCACCGAAGCGCCGAGTTTTTCACAGTTGGGTCAATAGGAATTATTCAAAATCTGCCAAAATATCGATGAATTACGTGAGCCTGGTAGTCATCTGGTGGATTCTAGGTGAATTACTTAGGAAATCCTGCTTGGGCAGTCAACTTACTGTATCAGATTTGGTGGATTCCAGACGTAGGTTGGGCGGGTAACTTGACCCAAGTGTGATAAAACTCGCGTCGTCCGGCGGGGTCTCGTAGCTCAGGTGGTTAGAGCGTTGGCTGTACTAAAGCCGTCTTCTTACTGCGTGGGTTCGAATCCCACCGAGGCGTCCAGTTTTTCACAGTTGGGTCAATAGGAAGTAATTATATCAAGTTAAATATCAGTAAATTTTAGCGAAAATGGACGTTGGAATATATTCGTGCAATTTCCTATGCTAATACATGTCTTAGACTATGGTTACGCATCTGTGCATACCTTAGTCAGAAATAGAACGCGCAAAACATCAATAGTTTCGGCAAAATATCAGTATTTGTATGGGCGCTCTGCCGTGCATTCATAATCGAAGAACGGAGTCTAAAAGCGAGAAAAAACAGTGCAAATGACCTTAATATATAGAAAAGACATGTTCTTACGCTTGTGGCTGAGAAATATTAATACTGTTTAGGAGCGTGAGAGAAACGGCTAAAAGTGTCAAATCTTTACTTGACCTCACCGTGGAAAAGTGCAAAGTACACAGAGATCCGTCAACGGAGTGCAGTAATAAAGCACTTCTTAAAGAGGTAACTTACTAAGGAAAGTTTTCTTATTGATCGAAGGCATATTGGTTGCTGACTTTCGTTGTGGACAGTTATTTTTCTCGAAAATGAATTTTGCTGTTTGAATGAGTCTTCACATATGACCCATCTTCGTGGAAAGGAGCGCCAGAATACTCACTACTTCGGTAAATGCCTTCAAGAATAGTCTTAATTTAAATTTCTCAACAGACAGAATCTGTCTTTATGGACGATCGGGTGAAAACACCGAAAAGCATGAAGTATTCAGCAGGATTTCGAGGCCGCTCTGAAACTCAACGTAATCCAAAACGAACGAAAAGTGTAAATTTTTTTATCGGAAGAAATGTTCTCTCTATAAACACGAAATGATATGTTAATGATCACGCCTGTCAGTTCTATTTAAATTTATCAGTCACCGGCCGGCCTCATGGTATGTAACCTTTGATCCCACGACGTCTCCATCGGTGAAATCAAGCAAAATCCAGTTTATCTTGTTGAACCCCATCCCATCCAACTCAAAAGAGTCAAGGATAACACGAATCCCTGGAAAACTGTTTTGGAATGCACACTCAGATTGCAGGCAGTTGACAAACCGTCATATATGAAATCACACCAATAATTAAACGATATGTAGATGTAAACGTCACTGAAACACTATTATTAAACGTTATTTAATTTCTACTTTTTTATTCACCACGTTTTTGGGATGAGAACACATTCTATACATCTAAAAACGAAGTTTACTAAATTAGAGCTATTTCTGTCGTTTTCGGGATATTGCGCTTTTCAAAATAAATCGGTATTTCTAAACAACGCAACACTGCCTTGAATATTTCTTTTATGTTTTTAATTCTTTTGGACATGTACTTAGTTAACATAGGCATTGGACTCATTAAATGATGTCGGTTTGCCAGTGATAGGCAATCATTCGTAAATTTCGACACATTTCATGAGTAAGGTCACTAACTGTACACTGACCAGGATTTTACACAACAATATTGCTTATGATGAGTAATAAGCGCTTAACTGGAGTCTGCTTTTTTGAGAGGTCGACGCGCTGCCGAGTCTTGAAGGTTATCCTACCTGTTCAGACGTTTTGGAGAATGAGGCTCTAAGCTGACCGCCTATGGTAACTTGGTTTCCACTTTGACCTGAACTCGAAGCCATTCCATGCTTGTTCAACCTATCACCTGCCCAGCCTAATTTGTCCTGTCTTCTCCCTACAGAGATTTGCCCTGGCGAATGTGGCCAAAGGTGGTGGTGTTGAGAACGTCTCCTATTACCGGGACATCACCTGCAAGTTTATGGGCATCCAGAACATCCACGCGATGCGTGCCTCCCAAACCAAATTCATGGAGGCCTGCTATTCGCAATCGGACAAGAATTGGTTCAAGATGATCCATGAGAGCCAGTGGCTGCTTCATCTGCGTCTTCTCCTTCTGGCGGCCAAGGAGGTTGCCGAACAGGCAAGTCAGCCGTCTGTCTCCTTCATCACCCCCACCCGCTGCCCCATCTTCACGACGGCCTTGATTGGGTTCAGTTCAGTTTAGTTGACGTAGATTAGGCGTGTGTACCTTTGGAAATCGCTATTTCATACACGCAGAGGAAAAGGGAGTAACATCAAAGAACTACAAATGACATATCAATAGCTGCACAGACAAACAAATTATTTCATGCGGTAACAGCTTTGGGAGGTATATGTACCCACGTAGGTGCGTAATAAAGCTACGGGTAAGGGAATATGATCTGTGATCTACGAGCGTCACGGTGAATGCGGGCGGTGGTAGGTCCAAGCTCAAACGTTAATAAATTATATAAACAAGCGCTACTTAAAGATATGAAGTAGTACCGTAACCTTAATAAATGGTTAACGTAAGGCATTTTGGTTATCCAGCCTCCTTTTAGAAGTTTCTACTGATACAGACATAACAGCATCCTCAGGCGAAGTATTCCAAGCTTCAACCACACTGTTGACTAGCCTGGCGCCAGTCACACGTAGTTTATGTGGATGACCTCTCAGGTTAGTCGTAGTCGCTAACTCGAAAGTAGTCTCCGGGTACGAGACAGCAGCCCTGATCGTGCATGGTGCGGAAAGCTCGTATTAGGCCACCAGTAGCTGCCTGTAACTCAAAGGAAGGAGACCGAGACTAGGTAATCGCGTTTCGTAGGATAGTGAGCCCTGTCCGCCGTTGAACCTTTTCGAGCATTCTGAGGTGTTTAGCTGTCCGAGGTCTCCATGCGTGGATAGCAAACTCCAGATGCGGCTGCACAAAATTTCGAAAGACCTTGGCGAAGCAGTCTCAAGACCGCCCCCTGATGATTATGTCCTTTTGGTGGTGGTGGTGGCAATCGAATGCCAGCGAATCCTGACCATCCCAGAACACACCCGACTACTCACATACCTTGCGTCACTCGCCACATTCTAGGTCTGAACAACAGGGCTGCTCTTCGGCGAGGTACTGACCCTGCTATGGAAGATTAGGGCGGTCCATTCGGGCAAGCATCTGTTGACAGTTAATTCCTTGCAGTGGGTCGCTTCATAGGGGCACTAGCAGTGACCCTACCCTCGACATCAACAACGTTGGTACTGTGCTCAGCTAGTCTAGGCACGAGAGCCCTAAAGTAGGCAAGAAGTAGAGGCCCCACCAATGCCTTCTAATATGCCCGTGGCGGGGATACACCTCTTGGCCGGCAGTGTATGATCTTGAGCTGTGCACCCCACTCATGCGAGAGTCATGCCACTGTTGCGCCAGACCATCAGCATACAGGGGCTGCGATGGCTCCTCTTTAATATAGCCTTTACGGCAGTTCTCACCCACTTTAGACAAGAGGGCGTGGTGCGGGCCGGGTCGCGCGTGTGGTACGCGTAGACGCGTTGTTCGGCTTTGGAAGCCGCTACACCAGAGCGCACCCCCCGATCACTGTCTCGCCATCGGAGCAAGGTGAGTGATATTGGAGGACCCTTCTCCTTCGAAGATAGGCTATTTCGTCAGCCAACGTACTAACGTCCATTTATAGTCGTCTGGACCTTGTCATTAGAATACATTGGGTGTGAAAGTAGTGAGTAAGCTAAACGCTGCGAGAGTCGGCTTCGCTCTAAATAAATTCGCACACACGCCACAGATGGTGCCCATCGCTTGCAGCAAGTGGAATCTCCCATTGCTGTACCGGATTGCCTGTCCGTTGTTGCGACTAAGCAGTGTGAGTGTGTGCATTCTGTACCCAGAGCGCTACTATCGTCGGGTCAGATCCCAGTGTTTTAAGGAGAAGACGGAGGGCACCAATTGCAACGGCACAGCAGTGAGAATAAGGGCTCTGAGCGCCACAACCACCAGGTCGAATTCCAAGTCGTAAGGAGAGAGGACAGAAGGCACCAGAATGAGGTGTTTATCGTGCACAGAATCCGAAGTTGTCCTCTCAGGCGGCAGTGGTCACTGGCAAAGCCGGGGCTGGTGTTGACGGCGTCCAGTCAGGCCTGAGAGTCCCAGAGATAGTGGTGGCAGCCGCTTTTGTAGGCTCGTAGGCCAAGCTCAAGTGGTGGCCAGTGTGTGCGTTTGCCGAGGGGTGGTGTCCTTGTGGCTTAGGTTGTGCTTGCAGGGGTTGGGGTGCGTTCAAGTGTCCCCGCATAGGCAGCTGCGGCTGTGTGGACGCAGGTATGCCCGAGCTGCCGGTCGTGTGACTTCAGGTCAGCACGTCTGGAACGGCTCACTGCAAAGGCGTGAATGACCTTGAGACAGCGAGGTCTTGAACAATGACGCCAGACCGGTCATGATGACTGGCCGCCGCACCGTGCCTCTTGCAATTACGTTCGCAACTCCTATCACTGCAGCTCCAAGTCAGCAGTTTGGGCATGGTGTAATTTTTCGCTCTAAAATTGATCAATTTTTGCGTCTTTTACTTCTGTGCAACCTTTCGTAGAGTATCCCTGTGTAGCTTCTACAGTTGGCTTGCAATGCTTCGCAAATTGCCCCACTACCGGAGAACCATCCATAGAGTGTGGTAAACTGACCTGATTTCCAGTGAGACAATCCGCACTCGCTGCGGTAGTATTTTGAGGATATCTCAGGCCATCTAAGGACGACGGTTCGGTCACCTTTGTTGTTCGTGTCGCGAACTCAGATTGCTACTACCTCCGATCCTGCGCCGTTGCTCACCTGAAACCGGGAACCTGACTCGTCGCACTTCGACAGGGCATGAAAACGGTTCCTGGACCTTCTGGAGGAGAATGTATCGGGTCTATGGATCTGCTGCCACAGATGGTCACGCATAGAGACATTATCGAGGCCGTATAGATCAGTCATGATCACTGCTTAAACACTCCGCGACCTCCATTGGGTGTCTACTTAAGTTACTCTTCGTACTTTAGTAACCTAGCTAAACAGATGAAAGTCACTTCTCCTTACTAAATAATGTTGCATCGTAATAGTGGAGGCGTCCTCAACTTGCTTGCTTCTTTCTGTTCCAAGATCGAAAACCACAAGAGATCGGTCCTGGTTCACTGTTCCGACGGTTGGGATCGGACCGCACAAATCACAAGCCTCGCGATGATCATGCTGGACCCCTTTTACCGCAGCATCCGCGGCTTCCAGGTGCTCATCGAGAAGGAATGGGTCTCGTTCGGTCACAAGTTCTGTCAACGCACTGGCGGCCCCGCGGACGGCGGTTCACCGCTTCCGTCTCCGCTGGCCGGGGACCGGTCTCCGTTGCCTCTGACCCGCAGCAGTTCCGAGGAACGCTCACCCATCTTCCTGCAGTTCATCGACTGCGTCTGGCAAATCACCCAGCAATTCAGTGGCGCCTTCGAGTTCAATGAGGGCCTCCTCATCACTATCATGGATGAGCTCTATGCCGCCCGGTTCGGGACTTTCCTTTTCGACTGTGAGCGCCAAAGTCGAGTCTACAAGGCGCGTCGGCAGACGGTCTCACTGTGGGCCTACATTAACGCCAACCGCCACCTCTACGAGAACCCCACCTATGTCCCAGCTGAAAGCAGTGGTCATCGAGTCATCCTACCGAATCATTCAGTCGCCAACTTGCGTGTCTGGATCCGATACTTCCTACGGTGGGATCCCAGCTTGCAGTGTCAGGAGCCGGTGGCGGTGCACAACGCATCTCTCCTCAAGAAGATGGAGAAATTTCGGAGTTTGCGTAGCAAGCACTCCCAAAACGGCGTCGTCCGGCATTCATCCACTACCACCTAGGAACTCGTAGCTTCATCATCTGTACAGTCGCTTAAGCTCATCCGGATGCTGGCGTTGGCCGAGATTCTGACATTCCCAGCAGGCATACACACACGCACCGCATTTCCATTCTTGTAATCCCTTAATCCGATTCCAGTTCTCTTCCCCGCGCGGACTTTCGAATCCCTTTCTTCAAATACTGCCTTGACCATTTACATTTCTGATTACTCTTTAGCTTCACTTCGTATATTAAACACATTCGCGGCTGTTAACCTTATCTCGTCTCTTCGTGTAGGCTTCAAGCCCTCATCTGCCTCTAGACACACAACCTCCCTTCGGTTGACTCGCGTAGTGTTTGCTGCGTTTTGGAGTAGTTAGAGGACTGAGAGTCAGGCTACAGTGGCTGCCATGTGACCCCTATGGCACGTGCGTGGCACGCGTAGAAGAGCCGTTTGGATTTGCTGGAGACTACGCCTCGACACACCCCCGGCTGTTTTGACATTGCCTGGCCGCTGGAGGAAGGAGAGAGTGCGGTAGATGCTGTGCAAGTCGCCGTGGGGGCACGCAGTGGATGGCGCCGTCGACGCTTGCAACGGCCTAACTCGTTTGTGGTTGGTCCCCTAAACGGTAGGCCTTGTCAGGTTACGATTAAAGGGAAACTGACACCGCTGGTCGAACTCGTGCCCAACTGAACGCCAGTCCATTTCAGTTGATGAATTAAAAAATGTTCGGCATGGGGGCTAGGTATACTGCTGTGGTGGCACAGGAGGCGGGCTCGGTGCCACGCGGGATTTGTTTACTATGAGTAGTAAACTGAGGCACAAGTCACCACTGCCCAGGTGGTGGTTGTCGTCATCGTGTACGGCGCACAAACCACCAAGCTGGGCCCTTGCCAAATTCGGACAGCGCCATCTTGTGAAGTCGATTCGTTTAGTCCACTTATCGACGCATGCAATAATTTGCTCATGGACTCGAACGAATGTATCTGGTGGGCGGTCCTGTTGGAAGGTGGAATTCGTGGATGGGGCCGCTCCACTTTGTAGCAACTGCCGTTGCTGCTCCACAGCAAGATGCAGCAGGCACGGCGGCTTGCGCGTGAGATAGTTTATAGTGGTGGTGGACTTGCACAGCATCTACCTCACCCCCACCTGGGCCCGGTGTCAAAACAGAGTCAAGAAGACCGGGGTAGGGCGCAGGGGGATGGCACGGCCGAGGCCGCACCTTGGCGCTCCACTTCACACCTACATATCATAAGCATACATAACGTCAGCCTCAAGTTAGTCCTACTCGGACTAACCACTGATTTATGGGAAATGGGGGAGAGTGCAGTCGGTCCGGCGTCTAGTTAGTCACTGCAAACAATCAAACACGCTTTGAAGTTCACAACACGCCAGCGATCATGCCTCAAGAGGTTCCTACCTGGCGGACAACTCCGTCCTCCGCAAAGACAAGGGGCTGGGCTGCAATAGCTCCATCTCAGTGCGGCTTTGATGATAAACTACAACTCGATGAGGCCCGAGACACCTCGGCCCAATGAGGAAACCTAATACATTTGGAGTGCGGACGAAGTTGAGCATGTCACGGGGAGGTTGAATGTTTAGCTTTGTCTGCTACTGCGCCCGGGCTCCTCTGAGGTCGCCCCATCGGTGGGTGTAGTCGTTTGCGACGCTACGTGTGCAGTACTTCTACTTACTTGATACGGCTGCGATCATGCCTGATCTAGCCGGCCTCGATGATGTCGCGAGTTGTACTTCTCCACGCCTGACGATCCGCGGCAGCAGATCTGGACAGCTCAACCCATTCCCTTCGCCAGCGACGGAGACCGAATACCGGAGGTCTAACTACTACTACTACTACTACTACTACTACTACTACTACTACTACTACTACTACTACTACTACTACTACTACTACTACTACTACTACTACTACTACTACTACTACTACTACTACTACTACTACTACTACTACTACTACTACTACTACTACTACTACTACTACCACTACTACTACTACTGCTACTACTACCACTACTGCTGATACTATTACTACTACCACAACTACGACTGCCCATACTACCACCACTGCTATTACCACTGCTCAGGGCCTCGGCAGTACTGATTCGCCGGATTTTTGGGAGAGCACGTATGATAACAAGTACTTGTATTGGAACAAATTGCCGGATAGGTTAATAAGGACAATGGTAGAAAAATAAGGCCTCTGATAGGATAATAAAAGACAGGGAGGTCACTGGTCAATTTGGTCGGCCCAGATGAAGGTTGAGCATCTGGCTTCGGGATTGCCGGGGGCACCATCGGGACGAGGGCAGACCCAGAAGTCACGACCCCGATTTGCGGATGCGCGTTTCACTGTGCGCCGAACACAGGGCTCCTGGTGGCCACTACATCTGGGTGCCTTTTGTGGTCGCCGGAAGATCTGACTCCACTGCAGGGTCGCCGCCACCGCCACAGACTGGGAGCCATTTGCGTCCTGCGTATTCCTGTCTCGGGGTCTCTCGCCGACTCCTGCTTCACCGGACCATTCTTGGGCGTTGTGGTGCACCGGTGTTAGCGATTTGGTGACTACTGCTCGGAGGGGGGGGGAGGAGGGGGATAGAAGAAAAAAGAAAGCGAATGAGTACCGGCCTGTCATGAGACCAGCTTGCTTCAGTAGTAGTGCCAGAGACACCACTATTAGTAACAGAAGTAGTAGTAGTAGTAGTAGTAGTACGATATTTGACCTATCTCGTGAAAGGTGCCTAAATTTCCGATTACTTCAGTAGTAGTGCCAGAGACACCACTATTAGTAACAGAAGTAGTAGTAGTACGATATTTGACCTATCTCGTGAAAGGTGCCTAAATTTCCGATTGCTTCAGTAGTAGTGCCAGAGACACCACTATTAGTAACAGAAGTAGTAGTAGTAGTAGTAGTACGATATTTGACCTATCTCGTGAAAGGTGCCTAAATTTCCGATTACTTCAGTAGTAGTGCCAGAGACACCACTATTAGTAACAGAAGTAGTAGTAGTAGTAGTATTAGTAGTAGTAGTAGTACGCTATTTGACCTATCTCGTGAAAGGTGCCTAAATTTCCGATTGCTTCAGTAGTAGTGCCAGAGACACCACTATTTGTAACAGAAGTAGTAGTAGTAGTAGTAGTAGTAGTAGTAGTAGTAGTAGTAGTAGTAGTAGTAGTAGTAGTAGTAGTACGATATTTGACCTATCTCATGAAAGGTGCCTAAATTTCCGATTGCTAATCACTCATAAATGGATAAAAACGAAAGACCAACACTTTGAATAATGAGTGACCTTAGGGTTATTAAAAACATCGAATAAATACTAATATTACGCTGTCCAAAAATAAGATTTTCATGAAAGCGAAAAATGCCGAAGACGTCAAAAAACGTTGTAACTAGGCAAGCTTAAGTTTTCAATGTATAAAAAGTCTGCGATGGCTGAAGCAGTGGCCATTCGGTTAGCCAACCCAACCCTGTGCACGCGTAAAAGGTTTGTACAGGCATACGTGTTCACACCCGCCACGTAGCGGTGTACAGAGACGAAACACGGACAGCTAATCGCCAGACACTTTCCTCTCCCCTAAGCCTCAGACAGAACTAAAATCTGACCACCGGACTCTGAACGCCCTTCCGCCCCCTTCCTCCATATTGTCTTTTACTGGATGTTTAACTTTTGTTATTCTGCCCTCCCTACATATTACCGTACAGCGTGATGATGAATAATCGAAAGCGTACGTTTGCCTGACTTAACTTCCTAGATGTCTACATGGGTATCATCGCTGAACTAAAACAAACGAGTAAATAAAGCAGACACAGGTCGAAGAGCGTTTGAAAATAGTTTCTTACAGAAGTCTACACTTCAATATCCATCATGAATGAGTATAATGTCAAGTACGGCGGTTACCGAACAGCCTACAGTTTAAGTATAGATTTCAACGGGGGTTTAAGAGAACTGGCTGTAATTTTTCCGTTGTTACATTGTCCAAGATGCGGTTGATTAAGGCAAACAGGCTTTCGCTTGATTTTGCCGATAGGGACATCGAAGGAGCAATATTTCCGCAAAGCCACACATTAACAAACCTATCAGTGACTAATAAATTAGAATAGAATCGACAGTTACAATTGTGAGCACACAATTTTGTGTATATTAAGGAAACTTTCGTTCCGTAAAACTGATTTATTGTTATTTCTGGTGCTGGAGCACGATGAGTTTCAGATCGTCCTTGAAATAGCGGTGAATACCTCACGATTTTTAGTGCTTCCAATCGATTGCTGATAAAGGCAGATTTTGTGCTAGATGTTTATCTAAACGCTCAAAATAAGATATTTCCTGAAAATATTTACAAAAGTAATGACTGCTTGAGCATTCTAGCGCAGATGACCGTTCTTGTTATATTTATGTCCACCCAAATTTCATGTTAACATGAAACGCAATCGTCGAGTAAAGTGAACGTCTACAACGAAAGTCGGCAATAAATATGCTCTAAATCAGTTAAATACTTTCATTAATAAGTCATCTCCTTAAAAGCAGTTCGCTAACGGATGTCTGCGTAGTGAACCTTTTTGCAAGGAAAAGTCAAGGTAAAAATTGGGAGGTCTGGTCGGTGTTTTAATTTCGCTGAAAATAAGTGATAAAGCTTCTGCTGCACATTAAAGAATTCACCCTTTACATTTGAGCCTTCTTGGCAAGGGTATGGTTTATGATCGGGATTACTTACTCCCGGGAGCGATCGTATCGTGCAAAAGAGCTGAACATCTAAAAACCCTGTGGCATCACGAATTTCGATCCTCTATAGTCAAAAATTAGGAAGAAACACCATTTTTACCGTCCAATGATAATGGTAAATGAATTAAATGCCCCTTCGCAGGCATTGTCAAAAAGGCATTCCTTTAACACAATTTCTCTCCGAAATAAGTAACCCCGGTCATAAACCATAGCCCTGCCGCCTTCTTCGCTACATTTGCGTACTGTTAAACCCCGTTCTAAGACTGCCATTGCACAACAGAGTGGCCGTATAAATACTAAAATATTGCGGGAACAGACAATCCTCTCTCAAGTGAAGAAGAAGAGTCGAGCACCGGAACACTTTGTTTATTGTCCAGAGCCTTCAGACTTGTACAGGAGTCCATTGTCAGAGGTAGCGGCAACAACAGAACAAGCGACAGTTATAAGGCGTGTAGGCCAATCATCGACCGACGGCGCAGGACTGGCGTCAGCGTACAGAGCCCTGCGTAGCCACCTCCATTCTTGCGCCTACATGCCTGTTAACTGTCGTTTCTTCTGTTGCTGCTACTACCTCTGACGATGGACTTCTGCACGAGTTCGAAGGCTGAGAACTCGACCACCCTTCTTCTTTCTTCGTCTTCTTCTTCTTCTCCTCCTTTTCTTCTTCTTCTTCTTCTTCTCCTCCTTTTCTTCTTCTTCTTCTTCTTCTTCTTCTTCTTCTTCTTCTTTCTTCTTCTTCTTCTTCTTCTTCTTCTTCTTCTTCTTCTTCTTCTTCCACTTCTTCTTCTTCTTCTTCTTCTTCTTCTTCTTCTTCTTCTTCTCCTTTTTTCTTCTTTCTTCTATCTTCTTCTTCCACTTCTTGTTCTTCTGCTTCTTTCTTCTTCCTCCGCTTCTCCTCCTTCTTCTTCTTCTTCCACTTCTTTTTCTTCTTCCTCCACTTCTTCTTCTCCTCCTCCTCCTCCTTC